GTGTGTGTGTGTGTGTGTGTGTGTGTGTGTGTGTGTGTGTGTGTGTGTGCTTTCCATGTGCTTCTAGATATGATTGTACTGGTAAGCAACTGCCCTCTGGGGAAGTCATTATTTTCAAGCTCGGGTCGTGTACCAGAGGCCTGGGGGCTTGTGCAGTATCCTTGGTGTTCCTAGGAATGCGCTTTTCTCGACAGAGATCTCATATGACTGGAATTTGGGAATAGATCCATTGGTTACTGGGATCTGTTAGAGCCATTCCCCCAATTTTGGATAAACTGCATCCAATGTTCTGATTACCAGAGGAATCACTGTAACCTTCACCCTCCACATCTCAGCCCTTGGTATTTCTCCTCTTGTGTCCCTTTTTCCACTAGATACAGCTATATCTATCACTACACTATCACTATCACTGTTCTCCCACTGCTTGTCCACCGCTGCTATGTCTGGTTGGTTAGCCATCCCAGTTTGTCTGTCTGTATCTGGAAGTTCCATGGGATCTTAATGTGCACATTCTCAACTGCCCCAGGGGCTGTTCCTGCATAGTATATAGGAAGTCCAACTAGCATCTTGAACCCTACTACAACTATTATGTTCTGGGTTGTCTCAGTGGCATCTTTGCACAGCCTGTGTCTGGGGTCCTGCCTCGAGTGGTAGATTTCAGACTCTATTGATCTTGTTCTCAGGGCTTGTTTATGTACTGCCATGATTAGTGCCTCTGTATTATATTTCCGTGGCTTTGTCCAGCCATTGATTAGATTTCTTGAAATTGGCCATTTCTACTATTTACCAATTGTTCATGCAATTGTACATGCAGTGTGGTTTGTTTCTATTGTTCTTTCACCAGTTTCTGCTGACTCAGGTATTCATTGAGGTATTCACTGAAATAACGAATCTGACGAAAGTAATAATAAAATAAAATTCTGTGAAAATAAACAAGTGAAAGTCAGACACAATTCAAAACACGATTATTAAAAAAAAAAAAAATAGGCAATCACTGCAATTAACTCTTAAGTGTCAATGAGACATCTGCAACTCTCAACAGGTATTTTTACCCACTCCTTGTCAACAAACTGGTTAAGTTGTCTCATGGTTTAAAAGGTACCCTTCCAGATAGCATGTTTCAACTCCTTCCATAGATGCTCAATAGGATTTAGTCAGGGCTCATAGAAGGCCATTTCCGAATGGTCCAATGTTTTCCTCTCAGCCAGTACTGGGCGTTTTTAGTTGTGTGGATACTGTTGCAAGATAGTGGTTCTGAAATTCACTAGTCCTCAGTCACCTTCCTAGCATATTGTTCCAGGGTGCTGTATTTGGGGTGAAACACTCCATGCATTGTCTTGATATCAGTTGCTTTTCTCCCCTCCTTTAGCCACCTTATTATTTCAGCAGGACAACTGATGACCAATAAGGCATTGGTGTTGATTGCTTGGATCTTATCCTTACCATTCAACTGAGTCTTCAAGACTTGCCTTACTCTCTGCAGGTATTTGGCAGTTGCAGCTTTCCAAGGAGCCTCTTCTTGGTTCCCATTTGCCTGTGCAATTCTAAGGTACTTGTAGCTGTCCTCAATGTCTGCAATGTTGCCTTCTGGTAGTGCAATCCCCTCAGTTGTGACTTCTTTTCCTCTCTTTATTACCATCTGACGTGTAGTTCGGTACTCTGAATGACATTCCAATGTCTTTGCTGTATAATTTAGTGGTGGTCTTGTTCACTCCTGGTATACAGCTTAATATCATCCATGTATACTCCTGGTATACAGCTTAATATCATCCATGTAGAGGAAGTTGCTGTAGTCTGTGCTTAGATTTGCTAGCCACTGTACATTGTTGTTATATGGTGCATCCTTCTCACATAAGCTCTTCTAGTATTTCTCTGTCTCCAGCTGTTCTCATAATACTTCTATGCCACTGAGCGTACATCTTCAATTGTTATATGGAGCACATCTGGTTAATTTTACTGGCTTCTATTGCTCTGGTGTACCTCTTCAAGTGGCGAGTCAGGGCTGTGAGTCTTTGCTTGTCAGTTTCCAAGCCCTCAGGTATGGACAGCTTTTTGTTTAACTTCATAGACACTTTCTTCAAAACACTTTTCTGCAGCTGTGATAAATGGCTAACTTCCCTCCATGTTACCTTGATCTTGGCCTCTAATCTCCTTGTCCATGGATGGTACTGCTCCCTGTTTTCTATTCAATTTCAAGCTCATTGCTGTAGTGGCTTACATTAATTTGTTAGTTTCAGTGATGGTTTCCATAGTGATTGTCTGTAATGCTGCATTCATGTCTTCCAGTAGACCTTCAGAAGGTACTTCACATAGTCTTGGTAGTCAGCGATGGGGGATCCAGTTTAGCCACGATGTTCTCTTTCAGGTCAGTTGCTCTGTTATTCAGTGTACTAGTTGAACTTGGGGCTTAGTACCCAATCTCAGAGTGGGGGTGATGATGGTGAGACTCCTCTTCTCACCTGGCATCCTGGCTCCCCCTAGCTGTAGCATTTTTGCTGTAACACATCAATCTCTGGGGTTAATTCTATTAGCTTCTTCCGGATGTTGGAGTATTGAGTTACTAGTTGCTTCAATGTTAGTGTATATGTTGGGCATGAAAGAACCCATAGGTCCCACAGCCTCTTCCTGTAACCCTATGTTCTTTGTTTTCATACCCTGACTTCGTGTTCAAGTTGCCCACTTCTCATCAGTATGTCCTGGTTTCTCAACAACTGACGTGAACCTTGCTAATTACATGTGTAAAAAATTGCACTTTGTGTTTTTTAAACTCATCTCTGTTACAGATGACAGCAGCTTATTAAATCTGACACCACACCCGCTGATCAGACAGAGGAAGAGATGTTTCCCTGGACTCTGCTGCATGGTGTCTGGATGATGGAGGAAAGGCAGCACTGCAGTCGGTTTACAAAGGAAGGACTTTCTGTTTCATTAAGTGATGTTTATATATTTACACTAGTTATTTAACTCCACTCTTAATGTTTGATTTTTTTTAAACAAATATCTAAAATTGTAATCTTTGAATATCTGCTTATGAATAATTATACAGTTTGTGTTGCTTTCTTCTGGCTTATACAATTCAGTTTGTTTACATTTTGGATTACATTAGTCTCAGAGCCAGCAGATCCTTTATTGGTGTCAAGATTCAGTTTTCATAAAGCTTGATTTATTTAGCAGCTTCAATGCATAAGATATTTAAAGAAAACAAGTGATTTGGAAAAGTGACACTGGATAAGATGATAATTTGACCACAGGGCATATTATTTCAACTGTCCGTATCACGA